TATTGGTGTCTATCTGAGTCTATTGGTGTCTATGTGAGTCTATTGGTGTCTATGTGAGTCTATTGGTCTCTAGGTGGAGTCTATTGGTGTCTATGTGAGTCATTTGGTCTCTAGGTGGAGTCTATTGGTCTCTAGGTGGAGTCTATTGGTGTCTATGTGAGTCTATTGGTCTCTAGGTGGAGTCTATTGGTGTCTATGTGAGTCTATTGGTCTCTAGGTGGAGTCTATTGGTGTCTATGTGAGTCATTTGGTCTCTAGGTGGAGTCTATTGGTGTCTATGTGAGTCATTTGGTGTCTATGTGAGTCTATTGGTGTCTATGTGAGTCTATTGGTGTCTATGTGGGGTCTTTTGGTGTCTATGTGAGTCTATTGGTGTCTATGTGAGTCTATTGGTGTCTATGTGAGTCTATTGGTGTCTATGTGAGTCTATTGGTGTCTATCTGAGTCTATTGGTGTCTATGTGAGTCTATTGGTGTCTATGTGAGTCTATTGGTCTCTAGGTGGAGTCTTTTGGTGTCTATCTGAGTCTATTGGTGTCTATGTGAGTCATTTGGTCTCTAGGTGGAGTCTATTGGTGTCTATGTGAGTCTATTGGTGTCTATGTGAGTCATTTGGTGTCTATGTGAGTCTGTTGGTGTCTATGTGAGTCTATTGGTCTCTAGGTGGAGTCTTTTGGTGTCTATGTGAGTCTATTGGTCTCTAGGTGGAGTCTTTTGGTGTCTATGTGAGTCTATTGGTGTCTATCTGAGTCTATTGGTGTCTATGTGAGTCTGTTGGTCTCTAGGTGGGGTCTTTTGGTGTCTATGTGAGTCTATTGGTGTCTATGTGAGTCTATTGGTGTCTATGTGAGTCTATTGGTCTCTAGGTGGAGTCTATTGGTGTCTATGTGAGTTTATTGGTGTCTATGTGAGTCATTTGGTCTCTAGGTGGAGTCTATTGGTGTCTATGTGAGTCTATTAGTGTCTATGTGAGTCTATTGGTCTCTAGGTGGAGTCTATTGGTGTCTATGTGGAGTCTATTGGTGTCTATCTGAGTCTATTGGTGTCTATGTGAGTCTGTTGGTCTCTAGGTGGGGTCTTTTGGTGTCTATGTGAGTCTATTGGTGTCTATGTGAGTCTATTGGTGTCTATGTGAGTCTATTGGTCTCTAGGTGGAGTCTATTGGTGTCTATGTGAGTTTATTGGTGTCTATGTGAGTCATTTGGTCTCTAGGTGGAGTCTATTGGTGTCTATGTGAGTCTATTGGTGTCTATGTGAGTTTATTGGTGTCTATGTGAGTCATTTGGTCTCTAGTTGGAGTCTATTGGTGTCTATGTGAGTCTATTGGTGTCTGTGTGAGTCATTTGGTCTTTAGGTGGAGTCTATTGGTCTCTAGGTGGAGTCTATTGGTGTCTATGTGAGTCATTTGGTCTCTAGGTGGAGTCTTTTGGTGTCTATGTGAGTCATTTGGTCTCTAGGTGGAGTCTATTGGTGTCTATCTGAGTCTATTGGTGTCTATGTGAGTCATTTGGTGTCTATGTGAGTCATTTAGTCTCTAGGTGGAGTCTATTGGTGTCTATGTGAGACATTTGGTCTCTAGGTGGAGTCTATTGGTCTCTAGGTGGAGTCTATTGGTGTCTATGTGAGTCATTTGGTCTCTAGGTGGAGTCTATTGGTCTCTAGGTGGAGTCTATTGGTCTCTAGGTGGAGTCTTTTGGTGTCTATGTGAGTCATTTGGTCTCTAGGTGGAGTCTATTGGTGTCTATCTGAGTCTATTGGTGTCTATGTGAGTCATTTGGTGTCTATGTGAGTCATTTAGTCTCTAGGTGGAGTCTATTGGTGTCTATGTGAGTCATTTGGTCTCTAGGTGGAGTCTATTGGTGTCTATGTGAGACATTTGGTCTCTAGGTGGAGTCTATTAGTCTCTAGGTGGAGTCTATTGGTGTCTATGTGAGTCATTTGGTCTCTAGGTGGAGTCTATTGGTCTCTAGGTGGAGTCTATTGGTGTCTATGTGAGTCTATTGGTCTCTAGGTGGAGTCTATTGGTGTCTATGTGAGTCTATTGGTCTCTAGGTGGAGTCTATTGGTGTCTATGTGAGTCATTTGGTCTCTAGGTGGAGTCTATTGGTGTCCATGTGAGTCATTTGGTGTCTATGTGAGTCTATTGGTGTCTATGTGAGTCTATTGGTGTCTATGTGAGTCATTTGGTCTCTAGGTGGAGTCTATTGGTGTCTATGTGAGTCATTTGGTCTCTAGGTGAAGTCTATTGGTGTCTATGTGAGTCATTTGGTCTCTAGGTGGAGTCTATTGGTGTCTATCTGAGTCTATTGGTCTCTAGGTGGAGTCTATTGGTGTCTATGTGAGTCATTTGGTCTCTAGGTGGAGTCTATTGGTGTCTATGTGAGTCTATTGGTCTCTAGGTGGAGTCTTTTGGTGTCTATGTGGAGTCTATTGGTGTCTATGTGAGTCTATTGGTGTCTATGTGAGTCATTTGGTCTCTAGGTGGAGTCTATTAGTCTCTAGGTGGAGTCTATTGGTGTCTATGTGAGTCTGTTGGTGTCTATGTGAGTCATTTAATCTCTAGGTGGGTATATTGGTGTCTATGTGAGTCATTTGGTCTCTAGGTGGAGTCTATTGGTGTCTATGTGAGTCTATTGGTGTCTATGTGAGTCATTTGGTCTCTAGGTGGGGTCTATTGGTGTCTATGTGAGTCTATTGGTGTCTATGTGAGTCATTTGGTCTCTAGGTGGAGTCTATTGGTGTCTATGTGAGTCTATTGGTCTCTAGGTGGAGTCTATTGGTGTCTATGTGAGTCTATTGGTCTCTAGGTGGAGTCTATTGGTCTCTAGGTGGAGTCTATTGGTGTCTATGTGAGTCATTTGGTCTCTAGGTGGAGTCTATTGGTGTTTATGTGAGTCTATTGGTCTCTAGGTGGGGTCTATTAGTGTCTATGTGAGTCTATTGGTGTCTATGTGATTATATTGGTCTATGTGAATCTATGGGTTTGTTTGTGAGTCTATTGGCCTCTATGTGGTTCAATATGTGTCTACGTGCATATATTTGTCTCTGTGAGAGTTTCTAGGTCTCTATGTGCGTCTATGGGTCTCTATGTAAGATAAGGGGGTGCCTAAGTGGGTCTCTACGTAAGTGGACCGTTCACGGTATGTCGCATGTCTCCTGGGCTCCCACTCCCTTCCACACCGCCTCTCCTCCCTTCATCACCCCCATCACTCTCACCCCCGACTCCTCACCCCTTCCCCCAGGCCCCGACCTTATCTCACAAAGCATTCGAGTAATTAAAACTGCCCACATGCCCAGGAGACGGAAGAACCAAAATCGTTCGTCCGCACAACAAGCGTCAGCAGAGTGAAGTCGCCGGCTCTCTCAACGGGGTTTCATGCTAAGGGGTAGTGCCGTTGCTCCGGCGTGCATCTAGCAGTGGATAGATTGCGGTTGATGATCATTTATGTTGAACTCTGCACCAATCCCTCCACCCCCACGTCCGGAGATTGTTCGGAGATGCTACGCGGTGCCACGCTTCGCACAAATGCACTTGCCAATTCAGAGGCCGCAGGTTCGATTCCATCTCGCGGTGCGGCCGGTGAAACAATGATCAACGTTGCTTCAGTCCCCTCCCCCCACCACCTTTCCCGCATCTCCCGCTCCCTTCCCTTCTTCCCCACCGTTCCACCCCCCCCCCCCCATCATGTCCATCCAGCAGCATAAAATAGGTTACACCACAGGAGCGCCGTGGTGGCGAATTGTTTTCTTGCTCATCTGGTATGCAGGAGGTCGTGGGTTTGATCCCGACCCTGACGCCTGCTGCTGTGTATTTCGAGTTTGCGTGTCTCTCTCTCTCTCTCATCGTCGTCACGTGGATTTTTTTTTTTTGCTCCGGGTCCTCCGGTTTTTCCCTTCCACGTTTAGAAACGTGCGTTTCGAGTATTTGGCAGATGTAAATTTCCACTTGAATAGCCACTTCGGTGAGCTATTATTTGTGACCAGATCGCTTCTGCAAAAAGAGCTTATATAGTTCAGTGGGCCTTACCTGTTAAAATAAAAGTAGTAGTTTAATAGCAGTTACGATTCTCGTTTCGAATCCAGATTTGAGTTACCCGGGAAGACAAAGGCGGCCGTGAGCCATTATAACCACCACCACCACCCCATTCGTGTGCAGTGGCTTGCGATCAGTACTTGTCTCTGTGCAGGGTTGAGTGTATCTACGGGTAGTTTACGAATTATTTTGCGGGGCAGTGGTCTCGCAGTGGTTAACGCGCTGCCTTAAGAACCCAGACACCTAGGTTGGATTACCGACCACGGCTGACATCAATATTCCATTTGACTTAATTCTAAATTACTTTACAAAAAAAGTGTATCAGTGGGAGCCTTTTGCCAGTATTAATACTTTTTTTAAAGGGTTTACCCTGTCGTGCATACTACAGGCGGTGTTAAGATGTAACACCAAATAGACACCTATTATAAGGCATCAAGACCGCATTAAGCACACTTAATTTGTGGTAAAACATGCAAACAAATATACTTTAACGCAGCGCTCAATTTTATTTGAAACAAAAATATACGGACGAGAATTTTATGTTTTGCCATAAAACCACCACGTGGCCTAACCCAACACAAACTATGGATCAATGTGACATGGCGACCTAATTAGCCGCTGGGTTTACATTTTTTTTTATATACCTTGAAACGGTTATAATTGCTTTTTTATATTTATATACGTTATTAATATTAAGAGATGTACATTGAAATATAAAAAGGGAAAATGAGGTGGGGCACTGCGCCCATCTTATTAGACGAATTTTTTTTTAATTTAAAAATAATTTCTACCCTAACCCCTACCGTGACAATAATCGTAGCCTTAGTTTCGTGGTGCGAGCGCCGCTCCCTCCAAACTCTTTGGTGCCCTGTTCAACTTTTTAAAAACAACAAGACAAACAAAAAAAAATAACAACCACCCGCTGGCACAAGCTCATCACGAAACTCTTTCCCACGGCCAGGATATCTCTTCTTTCCTCTCTGGCTGGCCACCTCTGTTCCACATCCTCGCCCCCAACCCGTCCCCGAGTGAGAGACGCTCGTTATCCGCAGCGCTGTCACCGTCATAACGCGCGCATCAAGGTGAGCCACCACCACCACCACCACCACGTGGGCCTTGACTAGCGGCGAGGACAGCTCCCCCCCCCCCCCCGTCGTCTCCACCTCCTTGCTCCCTCCTCCTCTGCCCGCTGGAGTCGTCTTCTGGTGGTCTTTTGGTGGTGACCCCCGGTGAGTTGGTCACTGTCTGTCCCGCCGCATGAGCCTCAGCTGGAGACTCAAATCTCTGGCAAGTCCATCGTCGTGTCTCTGGTAATAAATAAATTAATGAAATATATATTATTATTATTTTCTTCTGAGCTCATCTCTTCCCTTATCCTCCCCCCCCCCCCCCCCCCCCCCCCCCCAGTTTGAGTTGGGGAGGTGTTGGGGGCTGCGTGGGGTGCGGATACGGACAATTTAACTGCAACGATAAACAGCGAAATAATGACCGGTGTCTAATTAGGCAGACACACACGCGAAAGTCGGGGTGCAATTAAATGAAATTGCACATTTCTGCACCTCGCTTAACGTGTCCCCCCCCCCCCCCCATTACCCACCACGTCTACGGGATCATCATCACCACGACGGTCTGCTTCGGATTGTGAGACGCGCGTCACCCACACCCGCATTCCTATTCCGGTTTTTTGTTTAAGAAGGTTCGTTTCCCGAAACGTCTCGGCGGTCGTTGTTGCTGTTGACGAGTGTTGGTTGAGTAATTTGTTGTTGTTGTTGTTGACTATGCTTGTGCACCGCTCCCAATGCAGCGGTTAGCAGCTGCACGCATTTAGTTCGAATCCACCGCCCCCCCCCCCCCCCCGCGTTAAAATCCACGTGGGGATTTGGCTGGTAGGATGGGGCCGGTTTGTGTTGTGTTTGGACGAGTTTGGGTGATTTGTTTATCTCTCTTGCACTTTGCACTCCTATCGTGTTTTTTTTTTGTTTGCTGTTGTAACGTTCTTACGGGACCCTCGACTGTAAAAAAAGAGCTTTAGAGCTCATCGGATTCCTCCAGTATAATTACAGATCTGATTTTAATACAAATATTTGGGGAGGCGGGAGGGGGGGGGCGTCTTATAATCCGACCGATAGATGCGCGCTCGCGTTTGTGTGTGTGTGTTTGTGTGTACCTGTGTGTGTATGTGTGTGCCTGTGTGTGTGTGTGTATGTCTGTGCCTGTGTGTGTGTATGTGTGTGCCTGTATGTGTGTGTGTGTGGGGAGCGGTAGTGTAGCGGTTAGTGCTGGTGTTGGCGCTCACAGCCAACACCGGTGACGATTACTTAAACCGGTTCTGGGCCTCCCCTAGGTAGACTCAGCCTCAAATGAGTACCCGGTGCGGTGTGTAAGCATCGCCACTGGGGAGACAAAGGCGGCCGGGCGTGGTGCTGGCCACCCACCCCCTCGTGTGCCGTACCGGCATTCATAGGTGCTCGCTAACAGCACTTGCCCCTACTGTCTGTCGAGGCTACACGGGTGGTCTTTGTCATTATGTTCGTACGTGAATACATTCGTATACTAACTTAATAATCCAGATTGTGCGGTTTGGTTGCGTCTAAGAATACGACTGCTGTTGTTTAATCGCATTCCGTATTCACCGATTGTTAATGACGACCGTCCTCCGTGACCGAGGTGGTGACAATCCACGCGTTGCACTTGTTCTAGACTACCTCAATAGACCACTTTTAAAGGCTACTTCTGTTAGATGATGATGATGATGATGATATCCGCAATAGAGGGTTTTTTTTTCCGGGTTAGATCGCGTACGTATGAATGTGTCGTCAAACCCGCCACCACCCGACGCAGCCAATGAGCGTGAGGTTTGTCACGAAAACAAAACGTCGCAACCCGTTACTACTTCAGCACCACCGGTTGTGGGTTAGAGAGCCAACGCACAACATTCACATTGGCGCAATATAACCCCAAACTACTAAACAACCTCTACCATGGATGGTTTTGATCCCGAAAACCTGCGTGTTAAAGTGATAATAATTACACTCTGTTACAAAAAAATAAGTTTGTTCCTGGGTAGTAAGTGTTATTTTCGAATTGCTTATGCCTCAAAAGTACAGAAAATGGCTCTTATTATTCCCCTTTGTTACGAGGACAGTGATATTTTTTAATTTACCTATTTTCACAAAAGCAAAGTTTGTCGGGGGAATAATATCCGTAATTATTTACTTTTGAGGCATTAGCAATTAGAATATAACACTTACTAACCAGCAGCAAAAATCGTCTTACATGGTGTTATTGTTTACACTTATAAAGCGCGTTTCACGCAGAGATCGCAAGGACGTTGCACAGAGCTAAAAGCATTTAGGCAAATAACTAAAACGCAATTCTAAAACCGAATAAAAGCACGCAGTCTCGTGATTTAACCACGGATACGAACACACACACACATCCCCCCGCCTCCCTAGACCACGCCCCGACGCACGCGAGAAAGTGTAACAAGGGGAAAAGGCCTTCTTAGGAGGAAAAAACATTTCTTAAGGCGGAGATTTAAACCGAGGGACTTAGGCGATCGAATTTTGCACGGGAGTGAATTCCACAGCTGGGGGGTGGGGGGGGGGGGGGTACACGGGAAAGAGGCCCCGGGGGGGTCACCCATTGAACGGACGATGCGACTTCGTCACGCGCAGTAGTCGCCCACACTGAGACGACCGACGGAAGACAGCTCGCGTTGGGGACATGTGGGAGGAGGAGGTCACTGATGCAAGAGTACAGGGTCTCCTCTACTTACGAACAAGTTAAGTTCCAGAGGTCTAAATTTCGATTGAAAGCTTTCGTGACTGCAGGGATTCATATTCTTGGTTCTTTCGGTAAAGTCACCACCACGTAGAATGGAAATAATAATAAAATAATAAAAAATATAAAACAATAAAATTCTCACGACGTTTCGACTGCAACACAAGCAATCGTCATCAGGTGTGAAAACCAGAACAAGAACATTTGAAAAATTTTACTCTCGTCGATTCCAGAGGTCTGTTCGTAAGTCGATTTTTTCGTAAGTCCCAACTTATCTCCCGTCGATTCCAAACACGTTGTACGGCATTCACACTAACCACGGGGATTGACTTTAAAAGTTGCATTATCTCCTGCAGATGTAGATGCCACTGGGTTTTCACGTTCTGCAGATGTAGACGTCACCACCGCCATCTATTGCGCGGCGGTTGAACTCACGAATCTCGGTCCGAACAGGCAGCTGGACACACGAACAGGTTTGTTCGCATCTCTGAAAGTTCGTAAGTAGAATGTTCGTAAGTAGAGGAGTCCATGCACTGCCATTGCCTATCCCCCCACCCCTCCGCCCCCTGCCATCAACCAAACTCGCACTGACCAGTCTTGACTGTTCGCCACGTGGCCCCATCCGCGCCCTGCCCAAGCCCCGCACTTGCGTTGTCATTTGTCAAAGAGCTAAGACTCGCAGAGCTTCTCAACCAAGGTGGGAAGGGGGGGGGGGGGGGGGGGTTACATGGCAATGTCCCAGGGAGTACGCCCGTCATGTCATTTATAAATGTGTGAAATTGTATCATACGTGAGAGTCACTGGCGAATTAGTCGTGCATGAATCTGGCAAAAATAAAATAAAAATGACAATCTGAATCCGTACGGTAACCTTGTAAAGGATGCGCAAGACCTTCCAACGATGTTGGTTTCCAAGAGCAAACGGCGAGCGCGGGCGAATTGCGTCTCGCTCACCGCTCGCACCACCTCCACCACGAGTGGAGAATCAAAGACGAGGCACAGTGCGACTGCGGTCACCACACGATGGGCCGCTTTGCGAACAACTGCACCCGAAGCGCGCTCTCCGACGGACTGAGCAGTATCGGTCGCTCTGCTCCTGAAGCTATCGCGTGGCTCACAGACTTAAACTTGCACGTGTGTTTTGCACATACTTGCCATACGCTGGAGAGAGAGAGAGGGTTACTAGCTAGTTAGGATACTCCACAAACTGGACAATTGGTTAAATCCCTTACCGATTGGCTGTGTCGGGTGGTGGAAGTGTTTCGCCACACTTATACGTACGCGATGTAAACCAAACACACATTTTGTTCATGTAAAATATTGACGTTCATTATTCGTGCATTTATTTCTCACTACCATGTTGGGCCAAGCACAAAATCCCCCCCCCGCCCCCCCCCTTGTTGGAACAAAATTCAACAAGGGGGGCAGCAGTCGTCAAACAAAGGGTTGAGAGCCCACCGAGTTGGACTGACGTCTCTCTAGATGTGTCGTACACAGGTCTCTCTCGTGCACGTGCGAGTCCTCTTGCTGCCTCTCGATGTCATTCCAAGCGTCCGCGTCTCTCCATGCCTTCTCTGCAAGCACCGCGTGCCGAAGAAATTCCTAAATTAGGGAGATCGGTAACTAAATACATGCATTCCTAGTGAGATGGGCACCTCAGTGGCTAGGAGACGTTCACTCTCTCAGCATGGTTTGCAGGAAGGTCGTGGGTTCGATCCCGACCCTAACGCCTGCTGTATATTTGGAGTTTGCGTGTCTCTCCCCGTGATCTCGAGGATGTTTCTCCGGTTCCCTCCGGGTTTCTTACCCCCCCCCCTCCCCCACACACACACATTTAGAAACACGCGTTTCCAGTATGTGGCTGCAATAAATTGGCCACGTGGTGAGCCACTGTGATGAGCTGTACGTTGTGGCCAGGTCGCTGCTGAGCAAAAGCTATATAGCTCGGTGGGTTTTACCTGGTAAAATAAAGAGTTTAGTTCAGGTTCGATATCCCAGTTCTACTTATTACGGAACCGCGCATGTAAAGGCCATGCCGAAGTGGTTCTCACCCGTTGTGGTGCAGCGTCCCCCCCCCCGCCCCCCCCCCCAATTTCTGCCCCCACCCCCATTTGTTTTTTACTATTGCCCAAAGCACAGATTACACGTCCAGTTTGTGTTTGTAAGGCGTGTGTTTCACGTTGTGTGTCGGTGTGTTGTGTGTTATTCGTAAGGCGTGTGTTTGACGTTATGTATTAGTGCGTTTTGTGTTATTAGTAAGGTGTGTGTTTGACGTTGTGCATTAGTGTGTTGTGTCTTCT